AAGGCAAAGAAATGGAAAAAGATGTACACAAGAAAGATGTAAAAAGGAGCTAAGCTCAATAAGAGAAAAAGAAATCAGAATCATGTGATTTGGGGTAAGGACGGCAAAGACTGCTTGATATTTCAGTTCTCTTAGCAGTTTCTACATCATTAAAGGTGTTCAAACAAAAGATGATAGTGTGAAGTCAGTAAACTTTGACTGTGTTCTTACTTTAAATTTATAAACCACAACAGGGAAAAATGAATGAATGAAAAAGAACAATGTTTTCCAAGGAAGTCACGTGAACCATTTCACATAACTCATGTTAACAGACTTATCTTGAAGAGGGTGTTGCTATACTACTAGGCAAACACAATTAGATCATAATCCTCACTATAAATGCAATGTCAGTCCTGCTGCTGCCAGACAGAAAAGGGAGGGAACAAAGCTGTTAATGCGTACAAAACAAGGAAATACAAGAAGTCAAAGGAGGCTTTATTTTATGTGTCAGTTTCATACCAGTAGGGAGCATAAACCCAATAAAGATTTCCTGCCTTCAAAGACAGAAACTGGGGAATAGTGGAAAAAAACAAATTTAATCACCTCCCCCAAAAACTGTGTATTAGCTGATTAAGTATTTGAAAATTAGTAGCTTCTGCCCAGCTATGCTTAGCTTAAATGAAATTATTTGTTGACACTGATCTCAAAATTGCATATTTTTTCATCAAACAAGATTTTACATTTCATTTGCAATGAGGAAGAATTCAAAGTGCTGTTTGAAAAAAAATGTGGTATTTTTAAAAGTATTACTCAACAGGCCATAATATACTAATTATAAGCTGCAATATACAGCTACAAATTGTATTCCGGTAGACGGAGTCCTAAAACAGAGGCTGACAGAGGAGAAACTGATGTAAATCTAAGGTTAATTCAATGAATCCAGTGCTGTATAAGCCAGTATGTCAATTCTCAGGAAAGGTTTCGAATACTGGTGACTATCAAATTTAGAGACTTCTTGATATTCCCTCCACAGGCTCTAAATCGCCACTTAAAATGAGCAGTAGAATAAATGCCAACACCAGGTAGAAACAGCTAATGGGTATGCTTTTGCGCTGACTGTGCACGTGCTAACAGTGATAACAGTACCATGCTCTTGTACTTTGCCTTTTCTAGACAATTTCTTGTGTGTTATGCATGGGAGATACATGGTCATAGAAAATGAAGCAAAGAAGCAAATTCATATTCTTCAATCCTGTTGTAACTGAGCCTACTTAAAAACCTTAATTATAAGTATAATACTGCTAAACACCTGCAAATGGGACTGTGTGTAAAGAACCTACAAAATGAGATTAACCCTGTTAGGATACAATCATTTCTGGGATGGAAAATTTATGTCCTGTTTGAAATGTGAGTTTTCAACTTTAAAACATTCAGGTGATCATGGTAGCAGGCAGAGACAATGGAGGAAGTCTAGTGTCAGGACTCAAGTGTAAGAGAAAAATAAACTACAGGAACTCACCTATGCTTCAAATACTGCTTTTTCTGTGCCTTTACACCAGCTATTAACTCCACCTTAAATGCCCAGCAGGGTAATAGGGCAAAAGACTCAAGATATTTTTTAATCCTGTCTCTGTAATCAGTGCCATTTAACTGTTTTCACACCCCACAAAAGGGAACTCATTTCCCAGACTCAGGAGATTAAATGAGGTAATATGTGTTAAGTACTACCACTAGGCCTGGCACATACTACAGCACTAAATAAGCACTTTCCTGGCTTTATCTACATCATCTAGTGAACACCACTCACTTTTCAAACCCTACTCTGAATATCCCACTGTAGAACCTTCCTCAATCCTGTGTTCTATTTTTTCCCCTCAAAGAATCAACTGGTCGACCACTCAATCTTCTGTGTGTCATCTGGCACTACAGAGAAATGTCTATTTTAATTGCTTGTTTATGTATCTTTCTACTCCATCACAGAATGAACACCTCCAGGGTGGGATTTTTATCTATCTAATTACTGCCTACCCCATATCTGACAGAATCAATAAAGACAGCTTAATTAGCAAGTGTTGAATAGATGAATGTTTTCATTCAACTATTACAACCAAAACCTTAAGCTAGCCTTTCAAATACTTTGATAATGCACTATTTTCTACCAACTAGCAATGGAAACTGTTCGGTTTTTTTCATTTCTGCTCACCATTCATTTATTCAACAGGTATCTCCTATGCGGCAGGAACCCATCAGCGAACAAAATGAACAGAATCCCTGACCCACATGGGCCTTATATTTACCACAGGTAAATGTATGGAGGAAAGACGTTCTTACAGCAAACTTGTCTGAGAAAGCTATCAGAAGCCACATGTTGTTAGTCATCAACATTTACTAAATATCATAAAGACAAAACAATAAATCCCTGACTACACATAAAATTTAACTACTTAAAATAAAAAGCATAAAATTAACCCAGATTTAGTGTACCAACCAAGCAACCTGATTCAATGGTCTTCAAAAAACACTCATGTTAGAAACCCATTTCCTTGTAGCAAAAAAAGAAAAAACAAAAACTTGTGATTTATTTTGAAAGGCTAGTAATCTTTGTGAGTTTTAATGATTTTATGTGTGTAATTACATGTTTTGCATAGATCCTAATTTTAATCCTAATTTGAAGTTTTTTTTTAAATATTGTTTTATTTTGAATGCGGCCTATTTCCAAGTCTGTTTATGATCTTAGAACATTCTTTATTTTGTAAATGACAAGGGCTTTTATGAAATTGCCTCTGGGCTTCTATTCTGAGAGGTATGTTTCTGGAAGTGAGATGGGCCACACCAGAACTGAATGGAGACCACACCTAAACTGGCCTTCTCTGTTGAACCAACCAGCCCAGAGACCACAGAATGAGGCTACAAGACAGAGGCCTCCACAGCTCTGGCACACCAACACTTTCAATCTGATCTCCTTTATTGCTGCTTCCATCTATTCCCCAAGTATGCCCTATGCTTTTCTTCCTTTACTCATTTTATCCCTTGCTTAGAAGGCCCTTTCCTTGTTTCTCTTAAAATACTGACATGTCAACGTACCATTTTCATCGGTAAGAGCTTCTGGCTTCCCTCTGCTGGGGATAACTGTACCCTCTCTGAATTCATCAGCCATCTCTGAGAATCTCTCTTATATAGCTTACCAAGTTCTGTTGCTTTGTCCCACCTTGCTACATTTGCTGAAATATAATACATTCTCCTCACTGTTCTGCTCAGAACATCTGGCAGGGGACCTTACAAAGAACAGGGGCTCAATATGCAGGTCAGATAAAAGAGTAAACATAATACCCAAAATTTTACCAAATACTTGAAAACACTAGAAAGCTTCATTTAGAGAGCTCTGCAAAGCATGATTCAATTTCAAAATCACAAAAAAAGATTCAGGGTGACAGAACAAATCTTACTACCTAAAATGATGTTATTTCTATTGCAGAGCAACAAAAAAGTCCAGATGTTCCAAGCAGACAATGCTGAGAAAAGAATCATGGTCGCTGGACATTAAAAGTGGGTTATTCGTTGAAGGGTCCTGCAGGCACAGGTAGTTTCCACACACAGAGGTTTCCTTGCAGCTGGATTTTTTTTTTAAATCACTTTGGACATTTTTGTGCCAACTTAATGGGTTACTGAGAGCCTTGCCCTACCTTTGCTAATTAGCAGTACAATAAACAAGCAAAAGCAAGGTCACTACTGACAAACTTCGGATATAAAGTGCTGTGAACTGGGTTTTAAGCTCATGGTTCCCACATGTGGAGTTGAATATATGGCCTTTGCTTTCCTTCAGAACCCACAGAAAAATGGAGAAAAGCACAAACATCAAACAAGTGGTGAATACACAGATCAGCAGCAGCCCCAGGTTTAAAGCGCTTTCATCAAGCCCCAGCCACAGGGAAGAAATACTTCAACAGCACCCTAAGGGAAACAAAAAACTGAATTATGAAATGAAACATTAAAAACACATCAGAGGTGTGCCTTAGAAAAATTACTAGTGAGATTTAAGTCGCAACCCCCACGTTCCCTCAAAAGTGCTTTCTAATAATACTGAGCACATTCCAAATATCTTCCCTCTGCCGAAAACTTGACAATTGTACCTCCCCTGCTAAGCAAAAAAAAAAAAAAAAAAAAAAAAAAAAAAAGAAGCCTGGAGAACGTTAATGGCTTCATTTTTGAAGTAAATTCCAAACATTTATCTCGCTGGGCATTTATCCACAGGGGGAGTAGCTCCTAAATGAATTTAGGAAGTGAGCATGACCCTTAATAGATAATTTGGTTCCCAACTGGAGAGCACGAGAGGCAACACAAAGAGGAGGCTGGATGAAAATGGATTCAAATGAAAAAGTTGGAGAAACAGAAGGTAACGGAATTTACCTGGGGAAAGAATGAACGCTGAAAGGCAATACAAAAAGCATCAAAGCAAAAGGAGATGCCATCTAAAGACAAATGCTAGAGAAGGAAAGAGGGCAGGCGTAGCTCATAAACCTTTCAGAGTTCAGAATTACTTCACTCTAAAAATATCTCACTGTGACTTGACGACTGACTGGGTTCCAGGCTGGGAGCTCTAGAAAAGGAAATGGTCTAGTAGTGGAGAGACAAGGTGGGACAGTGCAGGAAAGTAGAGACCCTCGTAAGGTCCAGACGCAGCATCAGGTTAGGCTGGATCAAGGAAAAAGCTGGTGCTCAGCTGGGTTCCTGGAAGTGCTGAGAGGCAACAACCACTCGACATGAGTGGTCGGTGGGCGATCAAAGATTCCACGTGGGCTCGAGCGAGACTACAGTGGACCCCCCGCCACCATGTCCCCACCTTCCCGGAGAGCCTTGGAGGCTGGACCAACAAACAGATGGGCTCTGGAGGCCAGAGAAGTGGAGGATTCTCTGACCCGGCGAGACCCGACGGGGACCCCCAATGGGCAAGAGGCACGAAACGCCCACGCAAGGGCGGTGACACTGGGGTCCCGGGCGCCCCTCGCGGAGCACGAACTCACCGATGCCGAGCCCCACGACCAGGCGGCCGGCGAGCAGCGTCTCCTTGTTGTTGGCCGCGGCCAGCACCGCGGAGCCGGCGGTGAAGAGGGCACTGGCCAGGAGGATGGCGGCGCGGCGGCCGAAGACGCCGTTGAGGGCTCCCCCGGCCAGCGCCGAGACGGCGGCCGCCCCCACCGTGCTGGACACCAGCAGCTCCTGCCACAGCGCGTCCAGGCTGAGCTGCCGCTTGAGCAGCAGCATGGCCCCCGACACCACCCCGGTGTCATAGCCAAACAGGAAGCCGCCGAGCGCGGAGAAGACGGCCACCACGTACACGAAGGCGGGGGTCTCGTCCTGCTGGAACTGCCGCCGCGCCGCGCGCTCCAGGTCCCCGACGCCGCCGCCGCCCGCGCCCGCGCTCTGCAGGCTGGTGCTCGACTCGGCGGCCGCCAGGAGGCTGCACTCCCCGGCCGCGCTCGCCGCGTCCGGCTCCTGCTGCTTCCTGCGCCGCTCGCCCATGAGGCTGCTCAGGCTCCGCAGCGTGTACTCCACATTCTCGCTCGCCTTGCGGGACATAGGGCAGGGGCCCGGGGCTGCCCGGGGGGACGCGGCTCCGCGGGCCGGCGGTCTCGGCGAGCTGGACGGCCCGAGCCGGCGGGGGCAACCGCCGCCGCCTTCTTCCTCCCGGCTTCCGCTACGGCTGCCACGGCAGCAGCCGCCGCCACGGCCGCTGCGGGGAGAAAGTTGCTGCCCGCCGCGCTCCGGCGCTGCGGAGTTGGAGCCCGGCGGGTCTCACTCCACACTCACGCCCCGCGCCTGCCGAGCTGGCGCTGCGGAGTGGGCGGGAGGCGGGGCCGCGGGTCACGTGCAGCCCCGGGCCGGCGGGGCGGGGCCCGGGGAGCGTCCCGCCCCCTCCGTGGGCGGGGCCGGGTTCCGCCCGCCCCGGACCCTAAACCCCGCCCTCCCGGTGGGTGCTACCTCTGACCTCGGCTCCTGCTGTATGGAAGGAGCTCTGGCAACTGTATGGAATTATCCCTGCCTTCGGAGCTGCGGCGGTGGAGCAAGCCAATGTGGAAATAGATGCCAGGTAACAGGCTTCCAGACTGAGGAAGCCACCCAAAATGTTTGCGCTGTTGGGAGGGTAGGGAGAGACCCCCTAAACCAGCCTCACACTCCTTCCCGCAGCCTGGAGATAAGGCTGGAAAAGGGCTGGAAAAAATGTCCTAGAATAACACCTAGAATAGCACCCTTCCTTTTATAGCATTGTGACATTACCCAGCGGGGTCTGCTTCCCTGGCATTAAACGTGTTTGTTCTGGAGCAATTCAGGACAGCATTCTCTCATTTCTATAGCTCAGGCGTCCCCAAACTACGGCCTGCAGGCCGCATGCGGCCCCCTGAGGCCATTTATCCGGCCCCCGCCGCACTTCAGGAAGGGGCACCTCTTTCATTGGTGGTCAGTGAGAGGAGCACAGTATGTGGCGGCCCTCCAACGGTCTGAGGGACAGTGAACTGGCCCCCTGTGTAAAAAGTTTGGGGACGCCTGCTATAGCTAGTCTCCACTCTCCTCGCCATCCCTCCTCAATTTATGCTTATTTTAAAGGAATGGTGCCTTTGATTCTTTGAAGACAGAGATAACATATCTTCTGGGGTGAATCCCAAACCTCCTTCCGTGGATCCCTGACTTGTACAAAAAAATTCATATATATGCATTCCACCCATGAAAAAGTTAATTCCCAGTAATAGAAAGAAAACCCAAGACCCTGATGTGTGATCCGGCAGGCAGTCTCCACCTCTCTGCCCCAACATGCTAACCAAAAGGTAGGATATCTTCTGCCCTGAGAATCCTCACTGTTGCCCTCGATGAGGCACTGTTTTAACTGCCTCATTTACTTGAAACAAAGACATTATTTGCAACCAAATTTTTAAACTGTTGAGTGAGTTGACAGTTGTTGGTTCATTTGGGTTTCTTGGTTATTTTTCCCCCTTTGATTTAAATGTTTTGTAAATTATATAGTTCTGCATCAGGGGCTAAATTCTGTTTTCGTTTTTGTTTTTGAAACAGTCTTGCTCTTCCTCTTAGATTGTAGTGCAGTGGTGCTGTCTCGGCTCGCTGCAGCCTTAAACCAGCCTCCCAGGTTTAAGCGATTCTCCTGCCTCAGCTTCCCGAGCAGCTGGGCCTACTAAAGATGTTTTGCCTCTCTGATTTGCTTTCCTTCTTCAGGCTGAGGTCAAAAAGTCAAGCATCATAGGATTCTATTCCTACAATTCCACTCCTCTTTTATTTACGCTGTTTGAGCAAAAGCTTTCTTAGCCGGGGGCCTATTTTCTGTACAGTCTAAAACTTTTTTTCTTTTAGACAAAAGGACTTGTTATCTCTATTTCAATAAAAACTTATATTAGAATTTGTCAAAACTGCTTTCATTTTGTTTATTAGTCGCGGTTATCTCCCTAATATAGCACTTTCCTTGCCAGCGACAAGGAAAAATAAATTAACGAACCCAGAGGGCTTAACTAGCTTTAAAGCAAGGCTCTACCGTCATTCCCGGGAATCAGTTAAACAGAAAGAGCCTTTAGATGTGCAGCAATGAAGTCTTTAATATTCAGACCTCAGGCGGTATTGCAGGTGAGAGCGCGCCTTTTCCGCGGCATACTACGGTACTGAAAACTGCGCCCCCTGGCGGTAAGCTAATTCCCAATGCTTCTAAGAGACTGGCTCCGCAGATGAGAAGCAGCTGGTACTTCGACAGTTCCCTCTTGCAGAGCTGAAACAAGCTACTTTTTGCCCCAGCGGGTGTAGTGAACACCTTGGTTCCCGAGCACCCCTTGCTTGAAATTTAGCTTTGGGGTCATAGAACAAGAAACTACTTTAAAAAGTTCTGTTCCATATTAGGGCATTTATGTATCTGTGATCAGGTTACATTTGAAAAGAATTGTAACGTGAAAAAAAGGCATCGGAGAGTTAAACAGAATTCTTCTCAACCTTAAGAGGGAGCCCAGTTCAGCTTACCACCAGCGTGTGAATCTAATATGTAGTTCCCCGAAGTCTGCCCCAGCTGTGGATTATGATGAACTGGAAAGCCCATGGGCTGAGAATCAAAAGAAATGAGTATCGGCACCACCGTTGTTTTACTGTAGAACTTTCCAGAAACCATCAGATTAGCTGTGCTTTACTTTTATTCTCATTTGAAAAGCAGATAATGTGCAGCAACTACTCACTGACTAGCAGAATAAGTGTTAAAAGGTATTTCTTAAATAAAATTAATTGCTATTTCGGGGCAAATTTCCTTACAAGAGTCATTATTGGTTTGCAGTGAGTTCTATAGTTCTAGTTTTGAGGACATTTGCTTTGCAACCTCCAGGAATATGTTCCAAAGTAATCTAACTATGAGGAAAACTAAAAGTCCCTTCTCAATCATCTTTTCCATCATAACAGACCCCTTTCACCAGAGAATATGAAAGGATAGAAAGAGCATCTTTGTCCAAAGCCCTAGCAAACTTCTTATTATCTCTAACTGGGTTTGTCAACTGTGGTCCCATTCCTGATCCAGTTACTGCAGCTGGGAGATTAGTTTGATGATCAGTCTGGGGCCAATCAACACCCACATCATGAGCTTTGAGTGAAGGTAAATCACATGGACTGAGACTATAGGAAGTGTTCCCATAAGAAATCTTTTGCCAGAAGGCAGGCAAACAAATGCTGGCAATAAAACCGACATATTTGAGTTGCCATAAGTAATTAGTAAGTTAAGATGGCATAAAAGCCAAGTAAACCATTTCAAGAAGGAAGAACTGGCTAATAGAATCAATTATATTACAGAGAGATGAAAGAGAATGAAAGCTCATGGGAAATCTTTAAATTTTATTACAGAAAGTCAATGAAAGGCTGGATGCAGTGGCTTACGCCTGTGATACCAGCACGTTGGAAGGCTGAGGTAAGTGGATCATCTGAGGTGAGCAGATGGCACTGTGAAACCCCATCTGTACTAAAAATATAAAAATTAGCTGGGCCTGGTGGTATGCACCGGTAACCTCAGCTACTGGGGAGGCTGAGGTAGGATAATCGTTTGAACCCAGGAGGTAGAGGTTGCAGTGAGCTGAGATTGCACCGCCACACTACAGCCTGGGCAACAGAGAGACTGTCTTAAAAAAAAATGGAGAGAAAGTCAATGAATGTTGACTGCTGAGAATCAGAATGTTATTTTGAAGGTATTATAGCCACGAAACCTAATAACACCAGAATCCTATCCTTTTGATTATTCCTCCTCTCTGTATGTATAATATGAGAATTAATAAGCAACAGCAGCATCAGAATAAAGATATTATTTAATAAGTACAAAGGTAAAGTATGGGTCCTATGGTTTAGTTATGAGGTATAAGAGATACTTAAGTGTTTAGTACTTTCTGCAAGAACGTGTGTTTCTTTCACTTGCTGTAAGGAGGTGGAGAAAAAAGATGAAAGGAAGGAGGAAAGAATGGAGAGAAATAAGAAGAGATGACCAGCATACCCCAATGGCCAATGCCCTGTCTAGATCTGCTACTACAGAGAGACAGGGGGCAGGGAGCACAAGAAAGCACGAGGCATGAATGACCTTTTAACATACACTGACCCTGCCCACTAGTAAGCGTGACCCAACCAGGAATAGAGCCTGTGACACATCATGATATCATCTCCTCCACCTTTGGATAGGGAGAGTTGCATTGCCTCTCCCCTCAGAGACTATCAAAAGAGCAATTTCAATTAAAATGAAATTAGTGAAAACATCAAACATGGGCTGCATTTTCTATAAGTCTCTTGCTAAATGTAATAAGAGAGTAGCTTAAAAAGTTATCAGGATCAAGAGAAAGAGTGTGGGCATGGATTAGGCTTGATGTGAATTTATTTAGATGCTGGAGTAAAAAGAAATAGACAATTCAAGAGCTGGAATGTTTAATATGACAAAGTCCCAAAGAAGGGAGAAAGATAAAAGAAGAACATACGGGGTGAGGCAAGGATAGCCTAGCCATAAGAAGAAGGGGAGACACTTCTTCCTCTGAGAAAAAAAAGGCAAGGAAACAAAAAATAATGCCATCATAAGAAAAAGGTTGATAGGTTGATACTAACAAGAATAGGTAATAGTTCTGTTAAATGGGTAATTGTTTGTATTTGGAGGTGAGGAGTGGAGTGAGCCTAAATATAGTCAGAAAGACCTCACTTCATTTCTTCGCTATGCTACTTCCTTGACTGTGTAACCTTGGGCAACTTATTCTTTGCAAACTTCAGGTTTCTTGTAACAGAGAATAATAATACTGTATTCATATTTAGATGATTTCAATTCTAACAGAAATCCGTATTCAAACTATCCTAAACACTATAGAAATATATGACATGAATCTGAATGTCCAGCTGTTGGGCAGCATCAGGAATGTATGATCAGTTTTTTTTTGTTTTTTTTTTCAAAAATGTTACCAAAGACCCAGGTTCTATCACTTTCTTTACTCTGCTGTTCTTAGCATATTGGGTTTGCCCTCCACTGGCTTCTCCCAACGTAGCAAAAGGACTTCAACATTTTCAGGTGTCATAGGTTTCCAATGTATACTCATAAAGATACTACCTTGTTCCTGTCCTCAAATGTAATATATTTCAGCTAGTAAAAGATCCACATGACCAAATAAAAAGTAACTAATAATACACAGCACAATGTACCAAATCATTGCTACAAGAAAAAAAAAAAAACAAGTAGTTGAATATTGGTTATGGAGTATCAAAATATTCTTTATTGACCCAGATTAATAGCTACAAATGATCAGAGTTAAAAAGAAACAAAAAAACCCAAAGAGTTTGGCTTGTGATTTCAAGAAATGCTTTAATTA